GTGGGGAGACCGGGCGAAGGGACGCTTGTGCTGGGCAGGCCCATCAGGTTGGGTTTGGGAGAAGTTAAAGCTGCAAGAGGGAGAGAGAAAGGTGAGGAGTCAGTCGGTGCTGAGCAGGCAGACAGCACGAGGAGGGTGCCCGGCCGCACCGACTGCGGTGTCTCTGATGGGGACACCCACCAGAGTTCGGCGTGGCCAGCACAGCTGACATTTTACTGGCTCCTCCAAAATTCCCAAATGACTAACACAGATGTTGGGATCTGCTCTAACGGGTCCATGGGCCAAGGCACTCCAACAGCAGGATGGTGCTATGCCAAAGGGGAGGAACGCTGGGTACTGCCCATCTTGCTAGAACCTCCAGAGACCGGGAAGTCCTGGTCATGGCAACTAGGACTGGACAGACTAAACCTGAGTTATTTTGTCCTTATCTGGTTGCTGTTCACAAATCCATAAACCTCTCTTGAAACCCCGTCCTTCCCTTCCTCCAGTGTCAGGGGCTCTGGGCACTCAGCTTCTGAGCAATTCCAGAGTTTATGTGGTGTTCAGACATCCCCTCTGGGCACGAGCTTCGTGTTTTGGTTAGAATTGAAAGTGTCACGATGCTTCCTCATTAAGGAGACGGATTAATGGTGGAATGTGAGGCCTGTCCCCCTGTCCCTGTTCCAAACAGCACAAACAGCCAGTAACAACACTGTCCCTGGTGCCAATTTCTGCTCTCACAGCTGACAGTGGTTGAGGGCGAGGAGTGTGGCTCCCAGAGTCACCTCCATTAGTCACGGCTGTTGCAGCTGGCAAATGTGCTCCTAAAGAGGAATGTTTTGCTTGCGAAGTCCCTCAATGCCATTTGGGGGAAATAAAACAGAAACAAAGTTCCAATGTCCTGCTGGCACAGCCTCAAACGCTCCCTGGCTCTGGAGCAGGAATCTGCTGCAAGATGCACCTGCCACAAAACCTGACCAGTCCCTAACAAACCCGAGTCCCACCGCTGAGCAGAGGCTGCTCAGGGAACAGCCTGAGCAGGAGCAGTGGCAGAGCCTGGAACCAGCTGTGGAGGGATGGAGACTTATGTCTTGGATTGTACCACCAAGGAGCCATAGGAGGGGTGGGAGGAGGGCGGCCGGAGCCAGGAGGGTTCAGCCATGGCTGATCCAAACCCTTCTGAAACCTGTGTCTGCTCCTGCTGAGACAACAATGATCTGTGATGGCAGGGCAGGTACGCAATGAGGCTCCACGCAATGGCCCCAGAGATCTTGGATAAGGGCACGTTATGGATGGACACATTGAAATGGATGTTCCTCAGCTGAATGTCCCTGAACAGTTCCAGCACAGGAGCAGTGGGTAATTCAGAGCGCTCCTGGATGCACAGCCTTATCTGCTCTGACAGGCCTGAAGCTGCCATGGCCTGACCTTTGGAGCTTTATCTAAAGGCCACAAGTAGTCTGTTTGACTTTCTAAACAGCTCAGTCCTGTCTAGGCAGTCATTGATGGCGTTTAAGATTCACCAGACACAGTCCCATCTCCCCGGGACACATCATGGGCTTTGGAGAAAAATAAAAGCAACAATATAGACTGAAGTGCAAAAAAGTCGTTTTAGTTGCTGTTACAAATTTGGGGTACTAAGAAAACAGTGCAATAGAGTGACAACATGACCTGACAAAGAGATGCTCCTGGCTGAGTGCTCTGAAATGAGATCTGCTGTGAGAACAGAAGGGTCACATGGAAAACCCCTGGCATGTGCAGGGGTCCTTCAGACACACAGTGAAACAAGGTCCTTGGATCATGTATTCTAGGTCACTGCTGGTCACTGAGCAGCACCTTCCACTGCTGGTGTTTGCTTCATGGCTTAGACATTCCACCTATCCATCAGGTGCAAGGGAAAGAAGCATCTTCAAAAGATGGTAGTCCGGGATCTGAGATTAGGCCACCCAAAGGACTAGGCCAAATTTCATTTTTATGTAGCATTGTTGAAAAGAGTCTTATTAAAATATAAACTAGATTTTTCCTACAACCACATTGCTGTGTGTTGAGAAGGTACTTTCAGGTCATGGCCAGTCATCACTCAAAACCTTCCTCCGCTGCACTGGGATTTGTCCCAGAGGTCACCACAGGGACACAGAGATGCTCCCAGTGTCTGTCACCAGTGCTACCAGGCACACCACACCTTCCCCTAGGAACAGATTGGATTACTGAACGCTTGGGATGGCACCACATAAACCGAATTTAGTATCAAAAGGAAAGGAATAATGAACAATGCATTCGGCACATTAGTCCTTCTGTTCCATTGGATAAATCTGCTATTTTCCACTTCCTTGAAGGTGCTTCAGGTTTTCTAGCTTGTGCTGACACTCAGGGATATGCAGCACGCCTACATGTTACTCTAGTTCAGACTTTGCTAGAAAACCTGAGTTCAGGAATCAAAAATAGAATACCTATTGCTTATCCGCTGTGAAGCCAACCTGCTGGACTAACGGGCTGGGACTCCTGTTATCAGCCATTCCGGGAGGAATGACTACTTGTGCTACAGTGAAGGTGTGCCTGAGCACGGATGACACCCATACCCACCTGTGTTGGATGGAGTGAAGCCGGGTAAGGACGGGCTGTTGAGGCCTGGGAGCAAGACTGGAGGGATGCCCTGTAGTGCTGGGTACGCAGCAGGAAGGTTCAGAGCTTGCAAGGGGGTGTTGTCAAACATGCCCTGCTGTTGAGCTGCCAGACCAAGAACCTCATTGGCTTTTTTGATCCGGTCCAGCTCCTGCTGAGCCATCAACTGACGTACAGTAGCTGGGTCGAAATACTCCTTTTCCTTATCCAGCTGGCTTCCAATGGTTTCTTTAACTTTGGAGATATGCTGTTGAGAGAAGATATGGTCACGTACAGACAGCCGAGCGCTGTACTTGATGCCACACAAAGTGCACTCTGTTTTGGGTCCCTCGTAACTTGTTTGGTTTATACCAAAATGCTTGGCCATGCTGAGTTTGGACTTCTTCTCCTTTGCCCTCGCATTCTGGAACCAGACCTGAACAACTCTCTTTGGCAGTCCAATGTCATTGCCCAGGACCTCACACTCCAGCATGGTCGGTGTCCTGTAGTCATTAAAGCATGACTTAAGAACCTTGAGCTGGAGATTAGTCATCTGAGTGCGAAAGCGTTTCTGTCCAGGCCGGTCCCCGCTCTCGCCAGACTTGCTGGCTGAACCACTTGCACCGGGGCTGGGCGAGCAGGGGTCTGCAAGGCTGGAGGTTTCACTGTAGTCCACGGTACCTTCGTTGTCGTACTCTTTGCTGTAAAAGCTGGGAGCTGGGCTGACCAGGCCAGAAGACAGCCGATCTTCATATTCAGACATTGCTATCATGGCAGCTTTTGTCAGACCTTCACTGGGTCCCGATGTGGATTTGGTTTCGGTTGCAATTCCTGTTGCGCTGTCATTGTCTGCGTTCCCTTCGTCTCCTGTGGTAGTGTCTGTGATTGCAGTGTTGACGGAAGAGCAGTCGTCATTGTCCAGCTTTGTCTGGTCAAAGCTCAGATTGACCGAGGACATGGAGGGACTCTCGAAGTCTTCAATCCCTTCCACCTTAATGGAGGATGGACTCAGCAGAGTTCGAGGTGACAGTTCCATGCTCTTGTTCACTGGGGAGAGAGGAACGCTCTGTCCGTCGCTGCTGGTTGGTGGCATATGGGAAAAGCTGGCTCCATCAAAGATGTCTCCCTTCATCTGGAGTCCCCCATCGCAGTCTAGAAGCATAGCAGACAGCGTCAGGTTGTACCCAGCTCGTTTGGCCTCATGCCAGTGACGGGATCGGATATGAGCTTCCAGAGCTGTCTTTGCTTTGAAGAGAGCCCGGCAGAAGGGACACCGTCTGTGGGCCTGGGCTGGCCCCACAGCCCTGAACTGTCCCTTCCTCTCCCGTGCACGGGTGTTCTGGAACCAAACCTGCACCACGCGCTTCTTCAAGCCCACTTCATGTGCAATGTGATCCAGCATCTTCCGCGTGGGGTTAGAGTCGAGCAAATATTTCTGGTAAAGAATTTCCAGCTGCTCAGGGGTAATGGTTGTCCTTAGACGTTTATCCCTTTGGGGTTCTTCTCCCCCAGTCCCACTGTCATTCTCTCCAGGGCTTGCACTGGCCTTTTCCTCCAGCTTTCTTTTCAGTGTGTTCATGGTGGATGTTGGAGTTGACGGTGAGGTGGCCGAGCTTGCTGGAATCTGTGGTAACGTTCCAGATAGCAGTTGGCTCGCCAGTAGTGGATTACTGGGATCAAAAAGCATGAACGGCATATCCAGCGTTCTGTCCAGGAATGGGGGGTGGATAAACTGGTTCTGTGCACTCAGGAAGTGGAGCTGCTGGTGCTCCTGCCAATGCTCAAAGGAAGGAAATGCCAGTTTACACTGGTCACACTGGTATGGGATTAGCTGAGGAGGTAGGTTTGCCAGCTGCTGAGGGGTGGAGGTATGAATGGGTTTGAGGGAGAGGTGTGAGAGCTGAGATGGACTTGGGCTTGACTGTGACAAGGAGCACTGAGGGGGCTGAGGAGGAGGAGGTGGCTGTTGCAGTGAAGAGGGGGAGGGTAACTGTGAAATCTTTTGGTGTGCTGAACTTGTCTTTTGTTCTCCTTGGTCCTGTTGCTGCTGACACTCTTGCTTTGGTTGCACTTGCTTCTCTTGGGTTTGGTTTTGCTGTGTACTTGGAGGTTCAGACTGCTTTGGTTTCTCATCTGTAGCTTCTACTTTAGAACTAAATGTGGAGGAATCGTCTGCCTCTGCCGTGAGCTGCAGAAAAGCTGAGGAGGTCACGTTGGCTGAAGATGTAGGTGTGCTGTAAGCTTGTGAGGGCATTGGTGTGCTGCAGGAGGAACTAGTTGGAGTCAAGAGCTCCATTGCATCCATAGAGTCTTCGTTCTGGCTATCATCCTGTCCATCCTCATCCTCATCTTTGTAACAAAGCTTTTTCTGGTGTTTAATGAGATCAAAAATGCGCTGAAAGACCAGACTGCACTTTTTGCACTGGTAGTTCAAGTTGCTTGTTCTGATGTACCTGTCGTTTGTGAGCTCCCGTCGCTCCCCGTCTTTGCCTTCTCCCTGATTCTCATAGTTTTTCCTAGCTTTCTGACGGGCATTCTGGAACCACACCACTATAACACGTGTTGGG